GATCTCAATTAAAACAAAATGCGCAACATATAATATTTATTTTCAAGCACTTTACCCAGTTTCATAAGCATCCATTTGAGCCGACGCATAATTTTTCAGATAGTTTTTATAATCATGCGTCCAATTTAAGTAATTACCTTCACCTTGACATGAACAATTAGGACAGATAGGACCATGATTTTTTTTCAAAAGTTCCGTCATATCTAGCACCATGACCAAAACCATTTAACCATTTTGTGCAATCGGTTATAGCAAGACTCCTGTTCAAGTGATAAACATGAATTTTTCATAATCTAAATATTAAATGTTATCATAATAACGATAAATTCAATTTTAAGTGATTTACCATTCTCCAACCAATATCCAAATGCCTTGATTCGATGTAATATCTGCTTTGCTTAAGCAGACAAAATTTAGTCGTTGCTCTTGATTCATAGCCAATAGAGAATAGTCAAAAACTGCATAGTTATGAGTATCCAACACAACTTGATCGAATCCTGAAGAACTTAGAAAATTTTGCCATGTATTTAGAGGTAAAAAGGCCGTGTGATATATAATTAAAATATCACTGTTTATGTGACGAATAACATTGTATGAATCTTTATAAAATTTTTGTGTTAAATCAAGTTGATTACCACCCCAACTATATATTATGTAAATAATGACAAAATTAACCATAAATTTTATATTTGAATTTGAGAGAGAAATGATAAGCTACTTGCCTAGCAGGTTCATTAAGAACATTGATGGCAGTGACCGTATTTTTAAATCTTGGACTACTAAACCTTTCGGTCATGATTTTAATGGCTTTAATAGTACGTGGGATATTATCTGTTGCGCCTGTTTGCCATTCGACAGGACCTTGTTTACCGCTATTGTCGAATCCATTCTGGATATAAACATAAATTAGTGAATGTGTCATGATTATCATAACGAGTGATATCAATAGACTTGGTTAACCTGAGACCCCGGTGCACAATGTAAATCGAGAACAACTTTTAAATTATATTTTTTGGCCCATAAGACTCCTTTCAACAAATATTCGAAAGCACCCTTGACAAATGGCTCGCTAGGCACCTTATCAAAGGCCCAATAACCGATAGGTATCCTATCAATATTATAAAGAAATTATATGACTGACAAATATCTCACGATATCGCCATCACGTGTTGAGACTTCACACCTAAGATGATTTATTCCATAAGAATCCAATGTTACTATATCCTTTTCAGTGACCCATGTCGACCAATGTTTATGAAGTTGTCGTTTAGCTTCATTATAACCTAAAACCTGTGTAAACGTATATTCATCAACAGCTTCTTGTGGGGTGCCAACAAATTGTTCAAAAAGACTTGGCGTAATCCCTAATAAATACGTGTCATATATTAACATATACTGTTAAAATATCAGATATCATATTTTATATCTATGACCTCATCTATCATAATTAAAAATGTAAAGCGGCACTATTTGATTAATCAGTTTCTGTAATAATGAATATAGAAGCTGGAGAGCCGTTTTGCATGAGTGCCTCCAGGTAAAAAACCAAGATGTCTAAATACAGACTACTACAAAATAAATAATCTATATTTAAACATTCTGGTCTTCACTTGGCGACATTCATACGATACCTGTAATATTTTAAAAATGAAATTCACGACAATATAATTTATTGCTTACATGGTTCCAGTACCAACCTTATGCAAAGAAAGAGAAATCAGATATGCGTTGGTCAAAAATTTGAAATATTTTGTTTAAATAAATAAATAATCGTATAGTTACCATCCCCCAAGATTCACACCACGTACTTTTTCTTGTCCATAAATAAATTCGCTAGAGGAATTGAGCGGGATAGCGGTAATCAAATGATAATAAATCAAGGTCAGAATGATTGGCAAAGAAATATATTTTGATAACATTCTTGTAGCAGAGATAATAATTTAGATTTTATTGATGGTAAGAAACAATAAATCTTAAAAATTAAAAATAAAATAATGATAGTGAATTTATATGCTTAAGCAATAATTTACGCGACCAATCTTTTTTTTTTTTTTTTTTTTTGAGATCGTGTTACAATATGCAAGATAATTCAGTGGGATTCACATCAGGCGATGTAAGAGAACATGACTCATCGATCCATTTCATTAAAATTTGAAAAACATATGTGATGTTAGAAAAGGCCGTATTAAATAAAGTCGAAAACTAGTTTGTGTGATAGCTAAGATGAATTTAAAAGTAATCTTTTTAATAAATACTAAATATGAACTTTGGCGCTATAAAATAATCTGAAACAAGGTTTGAAGCCAGCATAATTGTAAAACCAGATAATCAAAAAGTATATTTCCCTCGAATGATTACAGGATTGTCTCTTCTGAAACATGGCTGTCATCAAAACGCCAGAACGCCAAAAAGAACTGTTGAGATGTCAAAAATCCGACCCGCTCCGGTCCCAGTCCAGTCCTAAAAAAAACCAATCCTGAACTAGTTAAGAACCAGTCTAACCAATATTTTGATAGACATTGTTAATTACAATCAGGGAATATACCAAATTAGGGGTCGTCGAAAGCGGGGCAACTCGTATTTTTTAATAATTTTCTCGATTGACTTTAGATCTTATATTAGGATTTTAGGTAGTTATATATAAGCAAAATTGCCTTCCCAACATTTTTAATTAACCCATCCGAGGTAGGTTTCGATTGCCGGTTTTTGTATTTTGTAGGTTTTTCGTTTTTGTTTCTTGTTTTGCTTAGATCAAAATTCTATAATTTGGCTGTGATCACATGACTTTGCCCGCTTTAGTTGACCGGGGGCAGGGATACGAAAATTTTCGAAATCAATTTTTCAATATGTAATTTTTCAAAGGATTTATTTAAAATTAACCAGTGGTGAATTTCACCAGTGATTGTCTATGCATAATTAAATCAAATAATTATTTATAAATCAAGAATAAATCTATTTAGTATTAAAGACTAGGTTAGGATAAGAGTATAGCTTATAGTAAAATTTTGCAAGGAGTTTTTTTTATTAAAGCATCAAAGCTGGTTTCATATATTAAATTTTGAGTTATTAGCAATTTTTTAAAAATTTTTTATTTTTGTTATACAAAATTGATTTACATATTATACCTGATCTTCAATTCTAATTGGTTGGTAAAATTTACTACTGGTAAGTATTAAACTTTTTCTTTTTCAAAATAAGATTGCTATGGGTATAACATTTCATGTGCTTATGTGTTTATGAACACAACAATGATCAGCATTGCTAAAATACTCTTATTCTAATATTAACTTTAACCCTAATTTAGGCCAATATTGTGTCTATAAGTTACATGAATTTTTGTATTTATAGTTTTTATTTTTCAAAAATCAAAAGTTTTTAGATGTAATTTTTATCATGTAATCATAGAATAATTAGTTTATAATTGTTTAAACATGTGATTTTTGCCAATATTATAGTTTCAAAATAAATCAAAATTTTTATCTTAATTGATTAAAATTTTTATTTTAATATTTCTGTGTCTTTATTAAAGAATCTCTAAAGCTATATATCTATATAATTTTGAAGAGCTAATTAAAATTAAAGTTAGATTTACTTGAGTATTAGTATAAGGCAAATAAATAGATAAAATTTTTCTGATATTTTTTCTTAATCTTCAAAGTTAAAGTTATGCTTTTATCTTTATTGAAATTTATTTAAACTTTTTTTATATAAAAGTGAAAAAATTATATATATAAACTTCATATCTAAAGAATCTTAAAATTAGAAACTTAACAAGAAATTATCTGTGATCTAAACCTATCAGAGTAGTTATAGTTTATTTAGAATAATTTAAACTGACTAGGTAAGTTATAGCTTATCAGAATTTGTTATATTTATACAAATCTAAATATATATCTAAATTGTATAAATATATTGTTACAACTCTAAATATAGTTAATAAGTAAGATATTAGATGATATAAATATATAGATAAGCTAGTTATATAAAGATATATTAATATAAATAGATAAGTGTTTAAAATAAAGTTATTGTAAAGAAGTCAAATAATAGTATAATTTAGATAAATTGTAGTAATTATATAGTATAGAACAAATATAATAGAAGTTAGATATTAAGATTATAATTTTGTATATAAGTAAAGTAATAAAATATATAGTAGATAGAATAGAATTGTAATTGATAATAGATAAAATAGATAATTTGTTAAAATTTTATATAGATAATAATAATATATTGTGTTGTTGTAAAAGATAAGATAAAATGAATTTAAATAAGCATAATAAATAAAAGATA